ATGGTATTTGCCTTTTTCACTCAGCTTTCATGAGTGGAGTTTTCTAGAAGCCACATGACATGTTCTATCATAAGAGATTAAATGCTGAAGCAGATATGAGAATGCAGCTGTCTTCTATTAAGCCAGACATTAAAGATAGTTGCAGAATTCGAAAGCAGTATCACTCTTTTCACAAAATTTATTTTTTTCCCTTCATTTTCAAAATGTATTTCTGTTTTGGAATTACTGTTTAGGATGACTTATAATTAAAATGTTTTACTTACGTTGGCATGGGTTTATTGGCTTTTTTTTTTTTGCTGATTTAATAACTATCTTAATAAATTACATTTTTATTTATATGTGGTAACAATAGATAATAACCCATAAGTCCAAAAGCTCTTTGGGATCCTCATTTTTTCTGCCTACAAAAGAGTCAAATATTTGGGAACTCAGAACTCAGATATTACGGAACTGCTGTTCTACAGTCCCCTCATTCATTGCTCTTACATAGGAATTTACTATGTTGAAGCTTTGTCAGATATTTACCTGGTGGCCTATGGAAGTTGTGCTTTTCATAATTTTAGGATGTATGTAAAAAAGCTTTTGTGGTCAACTGGAACTAGAGGGTACCCTGTGGGAATCAGGGCGTGTGTGTGGAGTACACCTGTGTTATGTACTACGTAAATGCAAAATGGTAATATTATTTAAAATTCTGTTATACTAGGCAAGTTGATATTAGATTCTATAACTGATTCCTCATTCAGCAAGTCACAATATTTATTTTGTTCCTACAAAGGGGCCTCAGTAGTTGTTAAAGAGATGAGCTAAATATAATCTCCACTCAGGCAACCAGCTGTTACTGTAAGATATTCACTACACCACAACTGACCACCTGCAAAAACGAATGGATCATCATTTTTGGTTGCTACTGTTCTGGTCAAGGAGGAATTTATGGTCTTATTTAGAATAAAAATATATTGAATAAACAGTTGGGTAAAATATGAGACAATGTGTTTGCCATACTTTAGATGAGAAGTTAAATGCCTCCATGTTTCAGTATACAGAGAAAAGAGTGTGGCAAGTGGGTTCAGGTATTGTGGTGAGAAGTTAATTGTTATTAGCATTAAAGTTGCTGCTGCTGTTCTGGCAGTGTTGCTGTGTTTTTGCTTAGGTGGGACCAATAGGGACGTATTCACTTTGTGATTATTCAGCAAGCTGTGCTCTTATGATTTCTTAATTTTGCTGCATACCGTATACTTCATTAAAAAAGTAAAGAGATTTTAAATTTAAAATATCTCTGTAACATGTTAGACTGTTTGCAGTTTGCACCTAAAAACATTTGTCCAAAGACTCATTGCTTATAGTTACTTCTTGTTTTGCCTTAACTTACCAAAGCTTCTCAATAGGTGCCTCTCAAGTCCAAGGAAATGAGTCATTTGATGCTGAATCTTCAGTTGGTGAATAATCTGTCATCTTTTTTTTTTTTTTTTTTTTTTTTTTTTTTTTTTTTTTTTTTTTTTTTTTTT